GGGGATGCGAAAACAACTGCGGCAGATGTGAACTCGTGGCACGCGCCCTTCTGTTTTACAGTGGTGCTCACCCTGTTCCCATAGAAATTTCCCCGAGTTTCCAAGCTTTACGATGACATTTTTCTATCGCGATATTTTTCTCGCTTGCTGCATTGTACGCTATCCAATTCGTTGATACTCGTCGGTCGGGGATATTCTTTATAAAGGTAAATCCCTTAAACGTAATATTTCCGTCCTTCCGCTTTAGTTACGTTAGGCGTGTCGGATGCCGATTTAAGATAGCTCGTCTACTTATCAACGAGCGTATAAAAGGCATTGTGATTTGCAAAGCGTGCGCACGCGCGTCCCAAGCCAACTGTATCAACTTACTATTTCCTGCCACTGACATCGAAACTTTATACTCGACGGAAGACACGAGAGAAGTTACCGATCTTGTCCGTTGGTCGGATCGGTTCCACGCTCTTCGTCGCCAAAACCACCTACGCAGTCTACGTAAATTAAATTAAATCCAAATTATACGCGCAACTGGCAATTAGCTAATTGGCTGCGAAGAAAACGCAACACGAATCGTCGCTCGATCGAACGAATGAGATGCTCCGAAAGCGGTTTGACCGAACCGATCTTCCGCTTTTCTTCCACGCGGCTCTTCGATTCGACATTTGGGGGCGGGAAATCGGCGGAGCAATCGGTCTTCGGTTTTCCCGGAATTTCCATCGGTCAGGTATCGTTTATTGTAACGAGGAATTCCTTTGTGCGAAAAAGGATGCGACGCCACTCTGACTGCGTTATTTCTTTGTTCGCGGGAATCCGAGGATCGATTGGGATCCCTGCCAAAAGGAACCTTTCGTTTTCTATAAGGATAAATCGCGAATTCTCGTTGTCCGGCGACAAGAGGATGCTCTCCGCGTCGCAAGACGAATCAGAGTTTAGAGAATCGAGGAGCTGTTGAGCGCGCGACAGAGAATTAAAGTTGGATGAACGGCTGCCACTTTGTATTTTGTATTCCACCGGCGAATTTACTCCTCCGAGTCGTCCTCCACGTGGATTATTTACGAAAGGAGACGCGGTATCGGGTCGGAAATCTCGTCGTCCTGGGAAAAACCGATGCCTCGCGATATGTACCGAGCATAAGAAGCGACCTCCGCGCCTCTGTTCGCGATACAAGCTCGATCCATCGCCGATTCTCGGCTCGTTTCTTTCTTCCCATTGAGATTCGCATCGGCAATCGCTCGGAAACCTTTTACAGTTACTATCGATAACTCATAGATAACGACCATTTCATTCAGTTTCGCGCTGTTCACATCGCCGTTTCTCCATCCTTCCACTCTGTCTTCCACTCTGATATCGTCGACCCTTAAAACTTGAGATACACCAGGAGAGGTACGCGCGATCGCCACGTTCACCTGTCGCGTGCCAAGCTACGCACCTGCTTAACTAACTTTCCTTCTCTTCGTGTCCTCGCCATCTGCTCTTTTTTCTTTTTTTTTTTTTTTTCGTGTTTCAGTGACCGATCGGCAGATGCCACGGTTTAACGCTTTTAAATAATTTTATCCTAATTACGTGACCCCGTTCCCATCGTTCTACGTTTCTCGAGGTAGCGCTAACCGTGGAAAAGCTCGCGGAATGGACGATCGATGATTTCAGAGTATTTATTCCGGTCTTGCACGCGCCGTGTCTCACGCTTACGGTACGTACGTGCACGCGTATGGCCGATGCCTCGGCATGCGAACTTTGTCTAAATCCAGCTGGAAATTCCTCTGAATAACGTACCATCCGTTTCGAGATTTTGCTCGTTTAATCCCAACGGCGATCCCGATAAAACGTTTCTTCCCAGCTCTCTTACTTGTTGCTCTTTACTTCGCGTTTCGATTCTTCGTTTCGTTTAATTGATCAGACACGCATAGACGCAACAAAGTATCGAGCATAACGGATAATACAACTGACATATGTGGTCGACGTTTAATATCTAATCCAACGTATATGTGTATATGCGTATTGTCGGTCGTTTTATATGACGGATACGTAAATTTATCCTAGACACGAACCTTGAGCTGGCCACCTATCGAGACTGTTTTGCCGTACCGAGCAAGTGTAGTTTCTGATTTTAGTTCATCTCCTCGTTGTTAATGTGCAAACGAGTAGTGGCAGCACCTGTACGACGAGGGGAACTTGGCTGCGCGTTTGTAAACGAAAGTAATTTTCTCTTCTATTTTCCGACGAAATTAGAAAAACATCGCTATAAATGCACGCCTATTAAAAATATTTACATTCCCAAACAGAATCTTCCGGCTGTTAAGCAGCATCGTCGATCATGGTTCGAAGTAGCGACAAGTAAGTGACAACCTTTCGACTCGACTACGTTTCTAGGTTAATTTTCTTACCTTTCCCGTTATAAACTACGAATTTCGTTCGATCGATACTAATTATTCGTCCGGTTTGTGATATTCGAATTGTTCGCGTTCCAGGGACAGACATCACAGAAGGCGATCTAGATCGCGATCCAGATCGCGATCCGCCACACCGGAGAAGAAACGACGGCGATCTAGGAGTCGCGATAGGGATAGAGAACGAGATAAAGGTCGGCACAGGGAAAGAAGGAGCCGTTCCAGAGACCGTGACAGAGATAGAAGAGATCGCTCCGATAGAGACAGAGACCGCGACAGGAAACGGTGTGTACACGTAATTTATAATTTATAATTAAAAATATCTTACGCTGGAAAATATTATTTTCTTCCCAACTTCGTGCGTTTCGTGTAGGAATGGGTAGATGGATCCGTTAACGTTGTAACTTTCTTAAAAAGCGTTTCCAGATTACCGGGGAAACTATGCTAGCGTATCGTGTTTGCTTTTAATTATCTCGTGATGCATACAACAACGAAGTAACGTGCTGATATTGATTGTTCTCGGTATACTAGCGGCGACAGTAAAGAAAAGCGTCTTACAGGCTCAAAGTCGTCGCGTTCAGGCAAAGATCGGTCGAATAGATCGAGATCGAGAGAGAGAAAGGAGAAAGAGAAGGGTGACAGCGATGAACTGCCGTTCGATCATACAAAGTTGGACAAGGTAATTTATATTATACGAGCAATTTGATCACCACTCGTCGTTAAAAAATGATTTTTCTCGAAAATGGTGTGTTTGTCAGGAGGAAGAGCAGAAAAGATTGGAATTGGAAATGCAAAAGAGGAGAGAAAGAATAGAGAGGTGGCGCGCCGAAAGGAAAAAGAAAGAGTTGGAGGCAACGAAGAAAGACGGTAAGGCATCCATTTTAGCAAACCTACAGTTGCCTATGAAAAAGTGGTCCCTCGAGGATGACAGTGATGAAGAAACGCCTGTTGTCCAAAATAGCAACAAGGAATGCAAAGAAGACGGAGAAACGAAAGAGCAAGTGGAACAAGTTAAGGAAGAAGCTAAATGCGACGAAGAAGAAGTCGATCCCCTCGATGCCTTTATGGCAGAAGTATGTATACGTATACCGGGTTAAGCCACGTGTACATTGCACGTGTATGTGTTGCGGGCGAAAGGTTTGCAAATGATTTTGTTCAAATAGGTTCAAGAGGAAGTTCGTAAGGTGAACAAACTCGATAGCAAAGGTGGAAAGAACGCGAATAACGGCACAGGGACGGGAGGTACTCAGAGCGGTGGCGTTGTTATCGTCACCGGTGTAGCCAAAAAGAAAGTGCAGAAGCAAAAGGGTGAACTGATCGAACAGAATCAAGATGGTCTTGAATATTCCAGCGAAGAGGAAGGCGAAAATCTTCACGAAACAGCTGCTGGCATCGCGAACAAGCAGAAGCGAGAATTAGCCAAAGTTGATCATGCAACGACCGAGTATCAACCGTTCAGAAAATCATTCTACGTCGAAGTACCTGAGATCGGTAAGATCGACTACCTCTTGGGATATTGTTTGCGTGACATTCGACCTTTCATTAATGATTCGCGTTTAATTTATTTAGCGAGAATGACGTCGGAAGAAGTGGAAGCGTACAAAGAGGAGTTAGAAGGTATTCGCGTGAAAGGCAAAGGTTGTCCGAAGCCCATTAAATCATGGGCACAGTGTGGCGTCACGAAGAAAGAGTTGGAGGTGTTGAAGAAACTCGGTTACGAGAAACCAACCCCTATTCAATGTCAAGCCATTCCGGCGATCATGTCTGGCCGTGATTTGATAGGTATAGCAAAGACAGGCAGTGGGAAAACGTTAGCCTTCTTGCTACCGATGTTCAGGCATATTCTCGATCAGCCTCCATTGGCAGACGGTGATGGTCCGATCGCGTTAATCATGACGCCAACTAGAGAATTATGCATGCAAATCGGTAGAGACTCGAAAAAGTTCACAAAGTCTCTGGGGCTGTCCCATGTCTGCGTTTACGGTGGAACCGGTATATCGGAACAGATAGCCGAGCTAAAGAGAGGCGCCGAAATAATCGTTTGTACGCCAGGTAGAATGATCGATATGCTAGCCGCTAACAGCGGAAGGGTGACAAACCTGCGCAGAGTAACGTACGTGGTTCTTGACGAAGCGGATAGAATGTTCGACATGGGTTTCGAGCCCCAGGTCATGCGTATTATGGAAAACGTTCGACCAGATCGGCAAACTGTACTGTTCAGCGCGACATTCCCTCGACAAATGGAAGCATTAGCAAGAAGAATTCTAACCAGACCTGTAGAGGTTCAGGTCGGAGGACGATCGATCGTTTGTAAGGATGTCGAACAGCACGTGGTAGTTCTCGAAGAAGATCAAAAGTTTTACAAGTTACTTGAAATCCTTGGTCACTATCAAGATAAAGGTTCCGCTATAATATTCGTCGACAAGCAGGAGAACGCAGACACCTTACTCAAGGATCTGATGAAAGCCTCTTATTCCTGTATGTCGCTTCACGGAGGTATCGACCAGTGCGATAGAGACTCGACTATATTGGATTTCAAGGCTGGCAGGACAAAGTTATTAGTCGCAACGTCAGTGGCGGCCAGAGGTCTGGACGTGAAGCATCTGGTACTCGTGGTGAATTACGACTGCCCGAATCACTACGAGGATTACGTGCACAGATGTGGAAGAACAGGAAGAGCTGGGAACAAGGGGTAAGTTCTCTGTACTTTTCCAGCTGTAACATTTATATTATTTATCGTTCGAACGATAAACAAACGGAGAATTACCTTTTGTCTACAGGTACGCGTACACTTTTATCACATCGGAGCAAGAACGTTACGCGGGTGATATTTTACGTGCTCACGAATTAGCGGGTGTCCCCGTTCCGGAACCGTTGCGTCAACTATGGGAGGGATACAAAGCTCGACAAGCGGCAGACGGGAAGAAGGTTCACACAGGAGGCGGTTTCAGTGGTAAAGGATTCAAATTTGACGAATCGGAGGCAGCGTTGGCCAACGAAAAGAAGAAGTTCCAAAAGGCAGCTCTGGGATTACAAGATTCCGATGACGAGGACATAGAGAACGACATCGATCAACAAATAGAGAGCATGCTTGCTCCAAAGAGGACGGTTCGTGAAATCGCCAGACCTTCCGCCACCAATATCGCGGTTCCTGGTCAGCCTGTAGCTAGCGCGACTGACAAGTTGGAGTTGGCTAGGCGACTGGCGTCTAAGATCAACATTGCGAAGAATCTAGGTGCCGAGGCGAAGGGCGCAACACAGCAAGCAGCCGAAGCTATACTTAAAGGCGCTGGCCCCACCAATCTTATTACAGCGAAAACGGTTGCCGAACAGCTGGCTGCCAAGTTGAACACGAAATTGAATTACCAACCTCGCGAAGAGGATCTGGTGGAAAGCGACGCAGAGGCTGGCGAACAAACGTTCCGCAAATACGAGGAAGAATTGGAGATCAACGACTTCCCGCAGCAGGCTAGGTGGCGAGTTACAAGCAAGGAAGCTCTTGCTCAGATCTCGGAGTACTCCGAAGCAGGTCTCACGGTTAGAGGGACTTACATCGCACCCGGTAAAGCACCACCGGAAGGAGAGAGGAAGTTGTATCTCGCCATCGAATCTACCAGCGAGCTAGCAGTTAGCAAGGCCAAAGCAGAAGTTTCGCGTTTGATCAAGGAAGAGCTGATCAAGTTACAGGCGTCCGGAGCGCATACCGCATCTCGCGGTCGTTACAAGGTTTTGTAAAAATGGAAAAGTGGAATGTCTTTCGTTGTACATGCGATGCACGGGATCCTACGCACTGTAGCATATACGCAACTTCGACGAATAACGTGCGAGTAAAATTAGAGATTTATTAAACTTACAGAAAGTCTCTGCGAAACACTTTGTATTTAACGGTACAATAATGTTCAAAAGAGCTGCTTAACGGTTTACGGAGTACCGATTCAGTGAACGAAAGTATTTGCCAGCGGTCCAAATTGATTAACCATCGTAATTAAATAATTAAGATTTTCGAACAAAAGGCACGCGAAACCCACATTGCGGGACGAGAGAATAAATAATTTGGGCCGCTCGACAGACTTGATCTTTTTTATCCATTGTATTATTGTATTCACGGAGAATATAACGTAACGATCAATCGCCACTTTGTTTTGGTAACTTAAGTCAGGACTGAAACTTTATTTACAGCTTACAACGGCCAGCATAATCATCCTTTAACGATCGTTTAGCGGCGTATTCCTGCCTGGGTAATTATGTGTCTTTGTACATGTTCCACGTACTCCGTTTTCTTTGGCAATATTAAAAGATAGACGAAAAATACACGCTACTTTTCTGTACGTTACGTTAGGCACTAGAGGAATCACAGTCATGGACTCGACGATACCGCGACGAACGGTAACGCCGCTAGGTAAAAGAAATGCTTTAACGCGTTTGAAAAATGCGACAAACGAATCGGCCGTTTATCGCGATCGGCCGACGTGTCTCCTATACGCTTGTACGTTTCCGTATGTGTCTCGGTTGTCACGAAACTATAGCGTAAAGGAGAATTGCAAGTAAGAGCCGCGCAACGCTTCCCCCGATGGTCATGGCACTTGATATGTAGCTATGAGCAATTTCCGCTCTGGTGAGCGCGCCTAACAGTACTTCCGTCGTGATCCTGGGGCTCCTCTCCGAAATTCTGGTAACTAGTTTCTCAGTCTCAGCCACGCAAGCTCGTAGCTGCAGCGGCGAAGGTCTCTTCGACGTAGGCTGTACTATAACGAATATGTCGAGGTCCGGCGTCATCATACCTCGAAGAACGCACTGTGCCACTTGGATCTGTCGTGCTAGAGCTGACAAGAGGACCTCGAGCGCGACCGAATCTTTGTCCACGTCCTCGTCCATCGTGTAGTATATCCTATCCAACTGAAAATGAACAAAAAATCGGAGAATAAGAACGGTGGCTACTTGGCGTTGCGCAACGCTGTGTGTAAAAGGTAAAAAGGGAGAGGGAGAGAGAATAACGTACCTGTTTTTTAGAATAAAAGAGCTTAGCCGCCCCACCGCAGACAGGACAACAGGCACCGGGGGGTGTGACTCCAACGCAGTATGGCTCGATTAACCGAGGACATTGTACTAAATCGCCGCAACGAGGCTTGGCTCGATCACCTATCAACCCGACAGCCACGCAACGACCAAAGTAATCCACCACCGTCCTTTCCGCCCACGCTGCGCACTCGTTCGCGTAGATCTCTCCGTTGGTACCGCAAACGGGACCACGTAAGCTACACCCTTCTAGACAATGTCCTCTGTAGCCCAAACTGGCCCCAGATCGAATCATGGCGCACATGGAGCGATGTTGGCGGTTTTCCTTGTCGCAAACCGGACCGTTGGCCTCGTCTCGGGGATCGCAATCGAGAGGTACGCATTCGTATTGGCGACAAGATTTCTGGAGCCTGGACAAGCACACTCTGGTTCTCGGGACGCATTTTTCCGTGCTGTCGCAAGGATCGGAGGCGCACGGGTCGCGAGAGGAACAGCTACCGAATTCTACTTCGTTCGCGGACATCTCGGAACACTTTGCCAGACAACCGGATGCAAAAGTGAAGCCTAATCTTCCACAAACGGGGACGTAATGAGCCGGACAGTCACAGGGCAACGAAGGTACGCGTATCTCGCCGCAATTCTTCTTCGAACACGTGAACTCGCCCTCGAAACAGTGACAGGGGTTACATTCCAGATAGAAGTTGGCTTTGTGAGCGACGAAACGGTCGTGCACCCAGCAAGAGTTGAATTTGTAGCAGTTTAAGGTTCTGCATTTCTCCAAACCGTGGACCGTGCATTGGCAGATTCGCAGACAACCCTGTTGGTCGTACCTTGGTATCTGTACCCAGGATCCCACGGGTACCAACTGTTTCGACATTTCTCCGAGAGAACAAGCTGGTAGACAACGGTACGCCTGTCGGGTGAAATGAAGCAGCTGGCAGATTTCACCGTGAGCGCAAGGATTACTCCTACAAGGAGTGACGATGTCCTCCTCGAGGCGAATCACCGACTCGTTATCCTGGGCATCCTCTAAAAAGGGTCTCAGAGAAACGCAAGAGGCATCGGATCTAGCTGGTGAGAGCTTGGCGCACAATGTGGCTGCCGTATGGGGACCGTTAATGGCCGACCAGTCCACGCAACTGGCCATCAGTTCGAGGCAATCTTCTCGACAAAGTCTCGTCTCGTGGATTCTGGCTTCGCACGGTCTCAGCTGCAACAAGCACGCGGCTGCGCGTAAAGTTTCCGGCGGGCAGGAAGCGGCGGCTCGAACAGGCACACCTAATCCACGAACGATTCCACCTCTGGCCCAGTGATCAGCTTCCAATTTAGCTGCCTCGTCAGCCGCGGCCGAACAACTCCTACGGAGCAACGAAAAGGAGGAAATAGAGGATAGAAGTGGAATAAGAATAGCAGTGGGACAAAGCAATGGAAGCAGGTTTGGCCGCGGTCCAAATCGAAACGCGCCGAGTTCCTACCTAAAGAGTGTCGTCGACCTGTCGTTGAATCGGGTGCAATAGGACAGCCCGGAGCAGCCCATTTCGCACGGATCGTCGGTATCCTCGAGACACCGTCTCAGTTCTCCTTCCAGGCTGGACGACAGGCACTCTGCGTCGAGTTGAAGCCACGCGGACTCCCAGTCCGCTTGGAACGCTCTCCAGCACAGATTCTGGCACGATGGCTTGGTTGCTTTGGTGCAGCACGACAATTTGCCCGCATCTAGAGGTAGTCGAGCTGGCTTCGACGAGCCAGACTTGAGCAGGCAACTCCAAAACGGCGACTGAGGTAGAACCGGTCTGCACTTGTCCGTCAACGCGTCCATGATCTCTTGGTCGGTCGTCGCCGTATGCAGGATCTTCCTGCACGTTTCGAGACAGGCTGGGCTGCTAGCCACGTTGCAGCAATGCAGATCTATAGTGTCAACGTGTCGAGACGATTGGCGGATTCAGAGTTACAAGAGAGAGAGAGAGAGAGAGAGAGAGAGACGAGACGAGACGAGACTTGATAATCGTCAACTTCTACTTACGTTGTTTCGGATCTTCGGCGTGTTTCGCCTCGGCCACTGTTTTCAAGCACCTTGGAATCTGATGGAAGCATCCCTTGCTACTGTACAACTTGAGATTTGAAATCTTTCCGGGCTTGTAGAACAAATCCTGGCAAATTGTTCTGCAGGTGTCGTCGGATACGTTGCTGCAACAGTGTTCAGCTTCCTCTCGCTTTTCCAAACAGGAGAAGAATTCAGGCTCGTCGCTCGGCCGGCAGGATACGTTCAGATCTCTTCTGGATCCGGAGAGAGCGCACGTTGATCGGCATATTGGATTCAGCGCTAAGTGACAGCAACCCCTGCCAGTCCAATTCTCGTATCTCTTTACCTCTGTCGGGACAAAACTAGTTAACAATTTTGCGTTGCTGCGAAACGGATGTTAGCAAGATCGAGTCGAGATACTCTCACCGTTCAGAGTCATGTTGACGCAGCCCCAGAATACCATCTGAAAGGAAGAATAAGGAAAAGTTGAAGCTGAGGGACTAATCCACAGAGAGAGAGAAAGGAGAGAGAGAGAGAGAGAGAGAGAAGAAAAAAAAAGAGAGAAAAGAAAGAAAATGAAAACCGAGTGGAGAAACGTAAGGAGAAGGTAAGCGTATCGCCAGAGTCTTTTGTAACGCGAATCTGTCCATCTCTTGCAGTCCCGCGTCCCTTTTCTCTCGAATCGCTAACGCTAACGTATTGTCGCGGGCATCGTTTCAGATTCGACACCGTCTCCGACTGTCGGCTATGGATTAAAAGGATCGATTAAACACACGGCTTACCAGCTCGAGGGAACAGAACTCCAGCAAGCGTCGCGTCGCGTTCTCCCTTGCCTCTGCTTCTGCTCCCAACGCCACCAGCGAGATCTGAAAGCACCGCTGCCGTCAACGTTCTCCTCTTCCTTTCTTTTTTTTTTTTTTCCAATTTTTGTTCGAACGTCTACCGTACAGAGATGGATGGGAAAAAATTGGAAGGATTCGTGGGAAGTGGAAAGGAAGAAAAAACGGGACAGCTGTATATCTATCGATGGGAATTTCCGCGATTACGAATGCAAGGTACGATGCGTTAGAAGTTATTAAGAATCAAGGACACGAGTACGCTTCGGTCGCCACGATTTCCTGTTGCTGGTCACTGAATGACAATAGACCACCGCACGGATATCGACTGTTGTACCATTTAGGCGTTCATTCGGAATTCAATCGACGTAGATCGTACGAGGACGCGCGGATCTATCCCGCAGTCTCGTCACGGTTACAAGTTACGACTATCCATCGGCGTGTGGTGGGTCCTGTTAGGACTTGGCCGCAGGCCGGATTACGGCCTGTATTTTAATATAATTCGTCGTTTAAATCGATCGTTGTTTTTCCTTCCTGTCTCTTCGTCGACGATCCTTTACGAAAGGACTTGTTAGCGATAGAGATATTTTAATTCGCGATGATCGAGCAATCGAGGGTTTTAAATAGAGCTTTCCAGTCGAACTACGTTGCAAACGTTAAGGGCGTAAACGATAGCGAACCGGAGACGACGCACGTATTTCTGTCGCGGTATATTCTGGGAGCTATGCACAGCTTAGCCTCGTCGCCATTTCGAAGGGGGTGCGTTTTTCTCGCCAAACTTTTCCACCATAGCTAGATGCCAGGCATTCTGATCGCCGTTATAAATTACGTACAAAGCGTAGCATGTAAAGCTCGCGAAACTGTGCCTCT